ATACAAACTAAAGAAATCTCCTGTAATGATTGTGACACATTGGATTCAAAGGATCTAACGGAAAGTTCTATTTAAGAGAAGGGCTTATTTGAAAACAACTAATTCTTTCTATGTTAAACAACGCTTGTTTCCCACTGGACATCACACTACACGCACAGTACGCGTCCCATGTGCATCTGATCTTCACGGTAATAATAAAGTTTGACGTGTGCGCGTAGTTGCTGACAAAGCATGGAAACTTTATTGCAACAATTCCACGCCACAAAATCAATTTTGATTCTTCATTCATCTCCCTAAAACACTACACGCTTTATTTTTTTTTTTTGACCCGAATTATCCAGATCCTGCAAAATCTAATGATAAAGGTGTTTTTGGCTGCAAAGCGTACGTCCTGACATGTAGTAAATATATTTGCATGTCGACCATCGATTCAATTGCTTTTTAACAAGTCATGTGTGCTTTAGAGTTTTTGTCGGCATTAAGTAATTTCCGCTATAAATAACCTACCTACTCAGCATGAAACTTCAAATACAACATTGGTCCCAAAAACTGAGCGTTCTCTCTCTCTCTCTCTCTCTCTCTAAATCTCAGATTCTAGCTAGTTGGAAATAATCGAAGATGGTGAGCGTGAAAACGTTGTGGACGAAGATGAAGAAGGAGAAGAAGAGGTTGTTCATGTGTTCATCGCCTGCAATTCATGTTGTACAGTATGACATTGATTCCTACTTTCAGAACTTCGACGATGGCTGTTCCACCGACCCAGATGATGCTTCTCGATCTTTCTCTGCTCGTTTCGCCATGCTTAGTTCCAAGGTTTCTTTTGACAAGAATTGTGAAGTGATTAGTAGTGATGATGATTACAGCAGCGAAATGAGTACTTAATCAGTTCTTTAACTTAGACCAGGAATTGTACATATATAACATCTCCATCGTGTACGTAGGTGTAGTTTACATGTAAATACATATGCATATATAGAATTGTGAATTGTGATCTTAGTTGTTGCTGATCAATAATGATAATTTATTGGCAATGTTTTTATGTATTTAAATTTCTATATTTTTCTTAATTTTCTTGTTAATTTGCATCTGTGATAAATGGTTGGTTTCACTGATACCAGTCATTGAACTTGGACCAATCAGAGTACTGGTTCAACTAATTAGATTGACTTGAATTTTAATATTATAAATAAAATCGACAGAAAAAAAAACCAAGAAAAGAAAATGTGAGTTGGATCCTTACTTTCTGATATTATTCGACAGTTTCCGCGTATATGTAGTTGACAGTTGTCAGGATTTTATTTGCCTTAGAAATTTTGCATTACAAAGCAAAAAGAATTTGGTAAAAAAAAAAAACCAAAGCAAAAAGAAAAAATAAAAAGAAAATTGTCGGTCCCTCTGCTTTTTCCACGTGGGGTAGAAGATTACGGTCTTTTCTGGCCACTTCGTGTTTGGATGGGACCTTATTTGACCCAGAATCTGAAACTTTTTAGTCAATTTGGTGCAAATCATTAATTTATTCTATAATATTTGGGGACAAAGTGATCATTTTTTTTACTACTTGAAAAACTAAAGGTATGGGATGGGAAATTATGACCCAAACCAGTTTTTCTCGTTTGCCCCCCTTCCATTTTACGAAAAGCGAATAAAGCTTTTAAGGATAAGGATTACGTGGAAGAGTTATTGTCGAATAAAAAGCGGTGATAACTCACATAACGCGTTTTTTCTTTTTTCTTTTTTTCCCCCTTTCTGTTCGTCCCAATTGAACAAATATTTTAAAAGATGATGACTTACGTATTTGTTTAATAATTAAATATTATAGTTAAAGGATACGAAATAAAGAAGTATCATATACACGAGAAGAGGGTGTCTTCATTTTTCTTTCCTCCATTTCTCTTCATTTCCCTCCTATTACCTTTAGATTAAAATTTTAATGGTTCAAATTGAAGCTTTGGTAAAATTATTGTTTTATTTTATACAAAGATATATAAATAAATTTAAATTATTAAAGTTTAATCTAAATCATTTAAAACTATAATATTTTATTATATATTTTATATAAATTAAAATAATAATTTTATGAAAAATTAAATCTGAATCATTGAAAAGTTTTAATCCAAGGGTGATGAAGAGAATGGAGAAAAATGAAAGGAGGGAAAATGGAGACACTCTCCTTCCCATATACACCTGTAACCAAAAATAAAAAACTCCATATAATACTTTCTTCAAGCTAGTAAATTTGGCTGTAAAGCATACTGAACTTCCAACGCATCATTGGTCCCAAAGCCTTCTCTCTCTCTCTCTCTCTCTATATATATATATATTGAAGATCAAAATTTTTACGCACTTACCAGAATAAGTAGTGTTTTAGCCTCCACATTGGGCAACAGAAATAATAATAATAATAATAATAATAATAATAATAATAATATGAAGGATGACGCATAATAAAAACACACACACACATAGTTGTGTTATTATTATGCTGTAGGTTTGTACAAAAGAAGTTGGTTGAGTCGCATTACTCATGGAAGAAAAAATTGGATAAAACATTTATTATTATTCTGTCCTAATCTTTCTTCATTTTTTCCAGTCACTTTACCTACTTTCATCTTTTTACTCAGAATATATATATATATATATATATATATATGAAATGCCAAGATTCCAAAAGCATCTATATTTATAACACACCATCAAAGAACTGGCCTCCCCCTTAGTGATGAGATCAATTATATGCATTACATATATAAAGGAAAGTATAATAGTAAAGCCGGTAATTCGGGACAGGGCGCGCTTGTTTGGGCTGGGTTCAATTCGGGCCGGGCTTAAAGTATCCTACTCATTCTAAAAAGTCCATATAGCCAAGCCTAACCCTAACACCTTCAGGCTTTGGGTTATTCGGACTGGCCTGAATACCCAAAATTTTTTAAAAGTATTTTTTTCTTTATTTTTAAACCAATTTTATTAAGTGTAAAATATTATCTTAATTTTAAAAGAATAAAATAAAACATAACTTATCAACTTTATACTTAAGTAGCTCTGTTATTATTTTGTTATATTACGTATAATTTATTCATGAATGTTTTCTTTACTTGTAAATTAATGTCTTAATTATTTAATATTTCTCTTATCATAGTCATATATAAATATTTTATATATTTTAATTAAATTATATTATTTTAATTATGATTAAGTTGATCTCAATTTAATTATAGTTAGACTTCTAATTTAAAATTATTATCCTGATTAGTTCAAATTTTTTAATAACTTTTAGGTAAATTATACTTTTCATTTTTACAAATATAAAAAAAATTTCCATCATTATATTATATAAAAAATTATTTAAATTATGAGTAAAATATTATTTTTTTGAAATCATTTTTCTTTAACTTTTTATATTGTTTAACTCTTACATATAAGGGATTCTTACTCTAGTTCACTCTTAATTTTTAACCAAATCTAGCATGAACAATAACTAAGTAATTATTTAAGAATATTATTTTATTTATTATGTTTATCTAGTAGTAGAGTCGAGAATTCGTATATGCTAAATTTTATTTTTAAAATTATTTTTAATTTTATTTTTACTTTAAAATTAATTATCTTAATTTATAAACAAATATAAAATTATTTTTTTATACGCAAATGATTTATAGGATTCAAAATTTTTTTAAAAAATTGGGTCTTAAATATAAAAATTAATATTAAAATATATTTTAAATATTATTTTGAGATATTTTATTATTAAAAATAATAAAAATATGAAATATAACTATTTTTAAATTTTTTAAAAAATGACTATATTAAAATACTCATATATATAGTATTTTGGTATAAAATGATATAAAACTTGAAAAACTAATTAATATTTATCATAGTTTATATATTTTTTAAATTTTTTTTATTTGGGTATTCAGGCCAAGCTAGATCGGGTTTGAGCTTGGCCCGAATTTCCTCGAGCCTATTCAAGTAGCCTGAATAGGTTCGAATAATAAAAAATTAATATTTTTTTTAGATTTGACCCTAAATTTTTTGGGCTGGTTTGTCGGACTTAGTCCAAATTACCAGTTCTATATAATAGTAATTCCACCTGCAGTGCCAGCTCATGATTCTTGTGTGTATTTTTAAAATTATAGGAATTAATGTTGTTAGCGAATCAAACTAGGGACTTAGCTTGAAACAATGAAATAAAATTATAGGGACTAAAAACAAAAGGCAATTAAAGTAAAGACCTACTGTTTAATTTTTTTTTATATATAATATCATAAGTTCTATCAATAATTAATTGTTCAAAAATATCATTCTCCATAAAATCTTATGCTTTATAATTCATTAATTGTTCAAAAATATCATTCTCCATAAAATCTTATGCTTTATAATTCAAGTGTTCTTCTTGATTTCCCTCTATATATTTTTGCACGGGTATTTGAAGATTATCTAATACTCCGCTCATTTTGCCCTTAGCTATTTGTCTTCTCTTCACAAGATCTCAATTTGAAATAATAACAATAAGGGATCAGGCAAAATCAATAGGATAAAAAATTAAGCAGCTGCAAATCGTTACACAGGGACTTCAAGTTTAGAAATTCTTCAATGATATTGACACCTTATATTGGATTCAAACGGTTTGAATAGAAACAACAAATTCTTTGTATGTAAACAATTTTTAATTATTTCCGTGGCTCATCTCACCAGCCAACATAAATTCTCCCACTTGACTTCAGTCAATAGTTAGCGCATGTGCATCTGACTTCACAAGGTAATAAGGTACAGTCACACCCCCATTATCAAAAATAAAGCTTTACATGTTCCTGTGTGTGTAGTTGCTGACAAAGCAAGAAACTTTATAGCACTACGCACTACAGAACCAACTTCGATTCTTTATTCATTTCCAAAAGCCGCCAGGTCAAGCTTTATCCAGATCCTATAAAAGCATCACAGCTTTTGTCGACATTATACATGTAATATGCCTATAATAACCTACCTACTTCGCATGAACTTCAAACTCAACATTGGTCCCAAAACCTCATCTCTCTCTCTATCTGTTCTAAGAGTATCACTCTATCTCTACCTCTTTCTTACAGAAGAGAAGTGATTGGCGCTGAAGCAGTAGCAGAACTTGTGTGTGGATCGAAGATGGCGAGCTTGAGAACGTTGTGGAGGAAGATGAAGAAGGAGAAGAAGAGGTTGTTCTGGAGTTCATCGCCTGCAATTCACCTCGTACAGTACGACATTGATTCATACTCTCAGAACTTCGACGATGGTTATTCCTCCGACCCAGACAATGCTTGTCGATCTTTCTCTGTTCGTTTTGCCATTCTTAGTTCCAAGGTTTCCTTTGACAAGGGTTGTGAAGTGACTAGTGATGATGATAACACCAGCGAAATGAGTTCTTGACCAGAAATTGTACAATATCCAAGATTGTGTATGTAGGTGTAGATTACCTGTAAATTCATATGTTTGTGTGTGTGTATAATTGTAAATTTGCAATGTGATCCTGTTGATTCTCAAGTTGTAGTTGAGATGATAATTAATTTATTAAAGCTATTTTTTGTGTGTGTGTGAATATATATATATATATATATATATCTTAATTTTCTTCTAAGCTTCTGTTGATGACAGTTAAATAACTACACTGACAAAATTCGACCCACTTAAACCCAAAAACGAAGATGTTTGAGTTGGATTTTTACTGGTTTATCTGATTGAAAATATATTAAATGACATTTTCTATAATTATTGATAGTTTTCACCATATTATTATCAACTTTTGTAATGACTCTAAATTTAAATTAAATAAATTTCCTTTCAATTGATAATTAATTAATTAATTTTTCTTTTATGATAAAGAAAGAGCAATGGTATATTAGAATTTATATTGGATATTTATATAGAGGTCTAGAGTTTAAATTTTACTTTAGCCAAATGTTAGTTTATTTTTATGGAAAGGTACTAAAAGTCCTTACCTTTTATTATAAAAAAGATTATTATAATAACAAAAATTGATAGGGTCTTTTTTTTGAAATTTTCCCAATAAATTTTGGATCTTGTTTTGTAAATTTCTCCATGAGATATTACTTGACTTCCTTTGACCTTATAAGTCAGTGAAGCAGGTAGAAGAGAGAGGGAGAGCTCGTGATTTTTTCTATTTTCCTCGCCTCTTTCGGATGATGTTCGAGGGTGAGAGGAGTCTAGAAAACTCTCCCCATTTCTTTCGTCTTCTCCTTCTCCCCTGTCATCTCTAACTACCTAAGGTCAGAGAGGGGGAGAGAGAGAGAGTTTCGGCCATCGTGCATGGGATTCGAGTACCGTCTCTTTCTCCTTCTCTTTCTTTCTTCAATCACATTCTGAGTTACAGAGAGGGTTGAGATTGAAACTTTGGACTTTTTCGTCACGTGTTATCTGACTTCATCTCTCTCTGCTATCCCACCCTCACGCCGGCGAAATGGGAGCTCGTTACTCCCAAACGAAGCCAGGTCCTCAGTTGCTCTTCCTGTCTTTGTTTTTCTCATTTGCTGCTGTCTTCGTCGCCTTTGTTCACGTCACAGATGGGCAAGAGAAATCAAGCCGTCGGTAATACTGGTGTTGATCGTGAGATTTTCTTGCTTGATCTGGAGCTTGGCAAAGTCGCAGACTCTTTTTATTTCTCGTAAAGCATTACTGTTGGACGTTTGCTTCCCCTGTTCAGCGTCCAAGTTTCCTCTTCCTCTCTTTTGTGATAATGGTGATTTAAGGTAAGAAGCTTTGACCATTAACTCTCTCGTGTTGTGCGTATATGGCTGGATCAAAATTGTGAACTGTTCCCTATTTTTCTGCTGTGCATGAGTAATGAAATGTTGGGGATTTGATTTCTTTGAGTAATAAATTTGATTTTTATTGGAATAAAAATTAAAAGGGCAAGCTGAGTTATCTCAAATATGAATGTGATATTATTTGGGAAATGAAATTTATAGAAAAGGAAGTGGGATTTTGGTTGGAGGATTCACGCATGACAGATGTTTGATAAATGTCCATTGGTAGAGATAGTTTGTTTTAGTATCTAATAGTGATAGTTTCTTAAGGAAGATGATTTGGCCTAGATATTAGTATTTGTATATCTCAATTAGGCTTTAACAAGGGATGTATTTAAGAAGCTGTCAAAATTTTATTTGAAGTTTTAATTATTAAGAGTTAAATGGTTGATGATTTATAAGGTATATTATCATTTTATTAATTCTAGTTAAGTGGACTCTCTTAAAAAAATAGGACTTGTTAATTCAAAAGCAAGGTTCATGAAGATTTTATTATATATTATAGGGTAATCGTAAGCAGGGTAACTTGATTGGAGCTGAAAGAAAAGAGTTTTGAGGTTGAAACTGTTACGGGTAAGTGGATAGCGCCCCAACTGATTTTTTTTCAATTAAAATTTTCTTTACTAAAATATTATATATTTTTGCAAATCATGCTAATAGTAATAATGTGATTGTCGGAGATTTTATTGATAAAAATTACTTTATTTTGTGGAATTAGCTTTATCAAATTTGAAATATAATTTGATCAATTCAATCAAGTTTGTACTTTGATTGTGAGATTTTTATTTTATCAAATATTGGATAGATACAAAGAATAATTCATGCAAGTTCGAAGTTGAAATTTTTTTTATTTATTCAATAAATACAAGCATGAGTATTGGATATGAAATTTGATTCCGACAAGTTTTAATGCTTAAAAGTATTCATGCGAATTTGATTTTGAGAACGATAACTGTATCTTAAAAGTGATGATTTTCTCGCATGTTTGAAAATGGTTTTTTTTTTAAAAGGGAACTTTATATAGAACACTGGTTGCTAACAGCAGTTCTGTTAGCCCTTGACCCGCCATGATACACCTAGCTAGCAAGGTGTTTATAGGAGGTGCTAGCCCCGTGCGATGGCCAATGCACATGGAATGGAGGGATGGTTATTCATGGGCTTTGTACCCGCGTTTAATTTCGTGGCTTCAAGCCACGTTTGGTTAGCATGACCCTCGTGAACTGTGTGTCCATGTTTGTTTCGTGGCTTCGGCTGCATTTGGTTACATATCCTCGTGGATTGTGTGTCCACATTTGTTTTCGTGACATAAGCCGCGTTTGGTTAGTTACCCTCGTGAACTGTGTGTCTACGTTTGTAAATTATTCTGATAAGTCCCTATAATTATGAATCCAATTATTTGAGGATTTATATTCCATTAATATTATTCAGTAATTTGTTTATAAATATTTATTTCATTTACGTACTTTCTTAAAATCAAGTCCTATTAACATTTGCCATGATAGTTCAAAGATTTGAGACTAAATTTTAAAATTTTATAGAGATTTTATTTTAAAATTTATTACATTTTTATGAAAGCTGTTGTCTCTTTGACTCACACAATTATTTTAAATTTTCCTTTTAAACAAGCTCTATTATTTATTGTTGGGACATTATTCACTGAAAATTATTATTTTGGTCTCAAATGCGTTAGCTGAGGTTATGCCTTTCGTAAATCCTTAAGGGGCTGTAATTTAGTTGAGAGAAAAGGCTGAAATCAAACTTCTTTAAAGTAAATTTCTTATGTCAAGTGCTCCACATAAGCTATAGTTAGGGTCCTCATCCTTATGATTCATACTTTGTTATTTGCTGATTGGAAAAGAGTTCCTTGCTGCTACTATTATTTTGTAAAATATTTGTAAATTTATTTTTGAGAGATTTATTTTAAGGAGAGATTCAATCAAATTTTTGTTTTTAATTTTAAACCTTTTGTTCGTATGGTTTGTATTAAGGATGACTTAATTTATTATCAAATATTTTTGTGGTTTATAAATTAGTTTTTTTTTTATGCATAAAGACTATTGGGATATGAGTATTATCCTTATATTATGTGCCGAACATGTTCAAATTTCGGGGTGCGACAACTTTATTCAATAATATTTGTATAAAAGTTAATATGAGATAGATGATATTAAATTGTATTGTTTAAAAGATTTTTTTAAAAAAAAAACAACGCGTTTGAATTAGTTTGAGTGATTCCTAAATATTTTGATCAATTAATAACACTTTTGAAACAATTTATTTGGCTTGTAAATTGTTGCATTGCCAAAGCGAAAAGAAAAAAAATCATCTTCTTTTTTAAAAAATTATTTCTTAAATTTCTTTGGTCCCTCTTGCTTTTGTTTCCAGCTTTTTTCGCATAGGATATAAGATTACATACCTAGCCATTTGTGTTTGAATGTGACCTTTGACTCACAACCTGCTGAAGCTTTTTAGTCATATTATCAATCTAGACACTCGCAATAGCTTATACATATAAAGTCTTCCCAATGAATTACAATACCCCACACACACACAGACACGGAGATATGAATACAGCACTTACTTTGTATGTATATAATAATATACTACCTTTGGTTAACAAACTGTTAACAACTTGGCATGTATCGAGGAATGATTCTTTTAAAATTAAAAATTTTGAAATCTTAAGATTATCCTCAATGAAATTTATTAATTAAAGGTTGTTTTTAACTAAAATACACTCTTATGTGAAAATACTAAGATTTTATGGTAGTACATGAGTTTTGTATCTCCATTAATTTAACTTGAAAGGATGGGGATTACGTAAAAAAATATTATCAAATATATATCTCCGTATATATCTACAAAATCTTAATTAAAGGTTATGGAGTAGAAAATATGACCCAAAATACTTTTTTTCTTTTTTTGACGGAAAGCGAATAAAGTTATTAAGATAAGGATTATGTAAAAAAAAAAAAGCATTATTGTCAAATAAAAAGTGATTGTCTCATAAGTCATAAGGCGTTTTCCTCTTTTCCTCTTTGTTGCCAAAATTGAACAATTTTTTTAAGAGCAGGACTTACGAATCAATTCAATGAAGATTAGTTGGAAATTACTGTACAAGCCAGTGAATTTAGCTGTGTAAGTGCGTAATGACTTACACACACACATCGCTTTCTCTATGTCTTTCTTCAAAGTTCTAGTAGGATCCAGAAACTGAAAACAGATCTAGAGGAGCAATTCGCAAAAGGCTTGATATGCTTGTAGAATATGGAATGTAACGATCCCTTGCATAGTCAAATTTGGCCGATTAGGCTTATGCTTAGTGGGTCAGTAGATATTAATGGATATTTAAAATAAAATTCTTAGATTTGATCCCCCATTATTAATGGATAGGTGAGTTAATTAGGTGATTACTATACTTGCTCTACTTTCTATCATATAAAGAACTTCTAACTTGTTGGTTATAATCAAAGAGAAATGGTTAAGTCATTAATTTTGTTTAAAAATAGAATAAAATTTTAATTTTATCCCTATTTAAATGAATTTTTTAAAATTTACATTACATTCTCTCTTATAATTAATAAGTTTAAATAAAGATAATATTAAAAAACATAATTAGTATCACATTAGGTATATTATATTAATTATTAAAGAATTCTTCTAAAAGGCGCTTGTATCTGTTATATATAAAAGGGAGGAAGTAATTTCTTTTAAGTGTCTTTAAGT